TATATATATATATATATATGCATATGTGTGTATATGTCTCTCTTCGTTTGTTGAGTAATTGCGGATGGGAGAGAGACGTTGGTTCCCGCGAGAATTTCGCCTTATTATCCGTTGTCTTGTAAGAGAATATTTATATGGGCCTCAAGTTTGTAATCTCTCTCTCTCTCTCTCTCTCTCTCTCTCACACATATACATACACATATATATATTTTTCTTTGTTTGTTTGCTTATATGGGCACATTTACAAGATTGATGGCGTAATTCGTACTCTATGTACCACCCACCAATTAAGCACGCATTCATAATAATTAATTATTCTTACCCTAGCCATAGCTATTTATTTAAATCAGACCATAATTATATTCAGTCCATATACCCATATATATGTAAATAAACACGACGATGATCTATTTTATTGGAAGATAAGATCAAGTTCAACAGTGACTGATTACTACTGAATTTCATGAAAATGATGTTAGGAATTTTTGGAGAGTTATACTAACGAAGAAGAATATAATAATTATATTATTATGACTCAAATTCGGATAGTTCAACCGGTGAAATTAGACGTAAAGCGTTTGTTCCGTTCCGGATTCGAACCTTTCAAGTTTTGGGAGAAAACGTATAATTCAAATTACATGATCGACTTTCGATCTCGTGATTAGTCTGAATCTTGATATATATATATATATATATAGAATAACCGGTTATCCAAAAAATTATATTGTTATTTTTAAAATCTGCATAATTCCTTCAAACAAAAACGTACTCTGCAAATAAGACAAAGGGTTAAAATAAAAATAAAAATAAAAATAAAATCTTACGAGTGACTGACGCTATATGACAAGCATGCAAATTCACGTAAATATAAGTTACATGCAAACAGACACACATTCACCAAGTCTTTTTCTACCTCCGTGGGTCCCACGTCACAGTTTCTTCTTCCCATGCAACCCAAAAAAAAAAAAAAACCTCGAGCTACTCAATAAAAACACTGCAAAATTCATGGCACAGTTCCTTTCTTTTTTTTCCCCTTCTCATTTATTTGAATTTACGATTATTAATTGCAGTATTTGAATTTATGATTATTAGTATACGTGTATATATCAGAAATTTAAATTAAAAAAAAAAACTAACCATTTAGACTATATATATGTGCGTGTGTTACGTGGAAGAGCATTTTGCATGATTTTAGTTTCTTTAATTTGCATATATAGGCACAATTACTACTCAAATAAAATTTTTATTCGATCTTTTTGTTTATAGACGGGTAAAAAGTTTTTAAAACTTTAATTATGAACAATGTTATTACTTACCATATATAAACTTTTTCATGTATCAAATTCTATATATGTTTCGTATGTATGTATGTATGTATGTATGTATGTATGTATGTATGTATGTATGTATGTATGCATGCATGTATGGAGAAGATTTTTCCCGAGAGGTGAAAACAAGGAAGGAGCGTCAACTTCACTGGTCACTTTCTCGTTGATCAGAAGAACATCTATCCAACATTTGGCAATGAGATCTGACGGCTGGCAGAGACGCAGAGGTCAACGTCGAGTCGTCGAGATGATGACACGTGGAATAGAGAGTGGACCCCAGAGTGTATGATAATGCAATGATGGTTTAATAATAATAATGCTTTTTGACATTCTGTGGACTTCGTGTGGCAGTAAATATATATATATATATATATATACAGTCTCTGCTCAGAATGCAGTCGCAAACCCTAAGCCCTAAGCGCACACACAGACAAAAATCTTTTTTTTAATTAATGTGATTTTATTTAATAAATTTGTTTATATATTTTTTTTTGTAAACAATAAATTTATTTCTTATTCGCATATCTCACAAACTGCTTATGTCATTCAACTGATATTTGATTACAACTTTTTTATTTTTTTAGAATTATATCTATTGACAAATACGTACATATACTTCGTTGTTATCGTCATTTCAATATTATATATATATATATATATATATATATATATATTGGTGCGGTGTAAAAACTATTTAAGTAATAATTCGTACATTTATTGCTGACAGTAAGAGTGAGTTGAAACATTTCGAATATTAAAAATATATATTAAGTATAAATCACTATTATCGAAAATTAAATACATTCTTAGTTTGGACTCTTTATGTCGTGCTATATAATAAAAACGTATATTATGTTGTAACGACTAACATAATACAAAGGTCCTTCAAATTAAAGCGGGAATATTGTTGGAAATGTTATGTGTACATTTACATTGTTTTAAATATGTATGAATGTTTTAAAACGTGACAAATCTTGTAATGTCAAATACAATTTCGTTAAAACCATATTAAATATTAACTGTATATATGTTTTGTTTTTTGTTTTTAGTCATCTTTTGTAGGGCCAATATATATTCTTTTTTCTGTTTTCTACAATTTCCTCATTCTCAACTGCCATTTTAAAATATTTATTATTATTATTATTATTTTTATAACGGAGGATCCTTAGCTGCTATCCTTCGGGCGCGCTGACTAGGTAAATCTCCGGCCCGGGAACAACCTTTGCATATGGATCATATAAACTCAGAAATTACTTCTCTTCCCACCAGCCAGGAATCAAACATTCAACCTCAAGGTGGAGTTACCTCTCACCCCAAGATTGACCATTCGTCCACGATCCATTGGGTAAAAATATTTATTATTATCATCATCATGATGAACAATTATGAATTATCTATTTATATATGTTTATTTAATTATATACCCAAATGTGATTAACAATTTACGGGCGTGCAGTTAAATTTCATTCATTCATTTATTTATTTAGTCGTTAGAATGATACACGTTTATAGATATAAGTCTTTGTAGACGATGGTGAATACAATTATTGGTGAATGATTACCACCTTTTGCATTGCCTTTTATTTACTGTTTGTCTCCACTTATTAAAAAAATATTATTTTTTATTGTTATATAATATTTCTTTTAGCCTGTTACCGATTGTGCACATTGCACGTGACGTGACAGTGACATTGGACCGTATGTGAATTGTCAATGCGACTTCCCAAACGATGAATACTACAATACTTGCGTGTATAGGAATTCGTGGATAGAGACCACAATGGTATGCGTGGGGAAGAATAATTTATAATCGGAGCATAGTGTATAATCTGGGTATTATAATAACAAATTAATTTTATTACGGGGGCATTTAACCATTTTAATTAAAATTTATATAATTTACAAAAAAAAAACATTTTTTATTTAAAAGTGAATATTATTTCTATTGTGTTTTTAATCTTTTTTCACCAATATATATACAATATAGTGTATATGTATATAGCATTATTTAAGTGTATGATTGAGGTAGTTGTTTTGGAGATGGCTTCATTAAATGTTTCAACAAGTGAAACGAGAATACAAAATACTTTGCTCCCGATCCCAAGATTAGTTTAGACTTCGGTTCAGAACACCCTCGTTTATCCTTTTTTTTTTTTTGAGAAATTCATGATGTACGCTATGTATATATATATATATTGTGGACCTTGTGAAAGAGCCATTTCAATTTTATTGGCATGACAATGGGTTGTCACCTTGGTCTTTAAAATTTTGGTTCCTATTTATCTACGAATTTTTTAAAAAAAAAACTCGATTTTTTATATGCATGCATTTCAATTTATTTTTAGAGAAAAAAGTCTAGGTTTTTAGACCATTTTATCATCGTGATGGTGTATTTGTATATATACATATAATACACATATGTGTATATATGTAAATAGAATGTACATAGGAGGAGATACAATCGTGTTTACATATAAGGGAACATTTAATCGAACATTGTGTTTTTTTTTCGTGGGAATCTCTTTTTCACGCTTATATTTTCCCTTATATATATTATTTTTTCATATTAGATTCTTCTTACGATTATATAATATTATGTATTACATTATTAACGCTAAAAACGTTGTACAGATGCCAACAAATGACTATTAAACGTAAAAAAAAAAAAAAAATTGATTGAACCGAAATAATCCTCACGAAATTAAATAACCACCCATAATACACCTAAGATATCAAGTAATACATATCAATATCTTTTGAGAAATTTAATTAATACATAGTTTCAGATTATGTCTAAGAAAAATCCTCGTAGACTTCAGGACAAATTCATTCTCTCTCTAAAGAGGAACCATTTTAATGAAAGCCCGAATAATCGAAAGAAATTAAAAAAAAAATAATTCATATTATCTTTAATTACTTTTATTTTCGTGGGCTTAAACCATCTTTTTCGTAAAAGCTTATCATCAATAAAAGAACGATATCACTAATTTAATATTTTAAAATTCTATTACCTTCATTTTTATTTTGAGGTTTTAAAATTCATTGATAATATATATATATATATATATAACTATAAATATATCTACATATATATGTTGCATTTACGAAGGATTACTTTGTACGACTTTCCGTCTGTGTGGCTGAGCTTTCTCTCTGTCTCTCGACCAGACAGAGAAAGACAAAATATCAATAATATTTTCACATTCGATTTAATTATTTATCGAAATATAATTATTAGGAAATTTAAATTTTTGTATTCTCTGTTTTTTTTTTACGTCTACAAACTTCACCTTTCTCTTTTTGTTAGCTTTGCGTTTTTCTTGTCCCCTTTTTGTCTTTCTTTTTACTTCTTTTTCTATCTCTCCCGCTTTCTTTTCTCCTCTGCCCATTTAATTTTCATTTTTTTTGCTTTAATTTTCTTATTCTGGTTTTACAATGTTTTTAAATATTTTACAATGTATACAAAAATATTAATTTTGTAACTACTAATTAATCGCTATCTTGGGTCGGTCCACAATTATGTTTCTTTTACGTTGATCACATTTCCACAATCTATAATATCCGATAAAATATTAGAGATTCGTATATATCTCTAATAATTTGTAACCATATATATATATATATATATAATGTTGAACTCGATATTTTCTATAAAAAAAAAAGAGAGGAAAGAAGAAGCTTTGTTTCCTCCCATCAAAGGGCATTGAAACTAAAATTACAAGAATTTTATAATAATGTATTAATTACTATATATATATATATATATATATATATATGGAGAGGAACTAGGTGTTAATTAATTAATTAATATAGGAATAAGTGTTATAACAAGTTACAGAGGCATGCCCAAAGTAAATTCGAGGTTTGGCTTGGTGGGGCTTGTTCCTGATATAATGCTCGATGAGCTTCTATCTTCTGATGATATCCTCTCATAGCTTGGATCCATCTCCTTCTGTTAATTCAACACAAAACCCTCAATGTTCTAAGAGTTTATAATATATATATATATATGTATGTATATAATATGTAAGTATGTGTGTGTATATATGCATAAATGTGGTATGTACGAAATGTGCGTGTGAATGTGTGTAAGGTATCAATGTTGACGTAATGGCCATAAAAAAGGGAATGGGAGGATACATGCATGCAGTGGCGGATATACATACAACTATATGGGGGCACATGCCCCCATTCAATCAATAAAAAAAAACTTTATTTTCTATAGAAATTATGTAAACTTTTGAATAAAACTATAAAATGGCCCCATAAAATTAAATTTTCTTATAAGACAAAGAAATTTGCCCCCATTTTCCCGCAAACCCTAATGCCAATAATTACCATACTACTCCTCTTTGCTTTAATTATCACTATTTTACCATTATATCCGAAAATTTTCTTCCCGACTAAACTAAGTCTATAAATATATATATATATATATATATATATATATATGTATATATATTGATAAAGAAGTCTAGACATATTAATCTAATCAAACACACATGATTTCAACTGTAACTAATCTTTAAATTGTTATTTTTTTTTCTCTTGAACGGTAATATATATAATAAGATCTAAGGTTAGGCTAGCAGTCTAAATATATAAATATTTAGACACAATTAATATTGACATCATTATTGATATTTTGCCCGTTGCCCTAAGCAGATTGGTATCGAACTTGGATTACCGCACCCAAATCTCAAAAGGTCAACACAGACTCATGGTCAATGGGGTTAGGTTTTTATTTATGGGGATGTAGAAAAAAAAAATATATATTATATTTCCTGTCAAAATGACGAAAGTACCCTTTGCTTTTGAAAATGCCTAAAGCCAGCTTTTGCAAAAAGCCCTTTGTTCCACTCCTTTTGAGGTTTGGTGACTCGCGATGAAAAGAAATCAACAATGCACACACACACACACACATATATATATATATATGTACACATACACACACATACATATACATATATATGTATGTATATAAGATTAGGTTTTGTTTCTCTTCACCTATTCCTATATTATCGGCTTTTCATAATTTCGCACCAGTGAATGGCTTTTAATGAAGTTATTAGGGCCTAGCTGGTATATATATATATATAGACATGCACATATACATAAAAATACATGGATATATATATATATATATGTACACATGTAAATGAACAAGGACATTTTGGGGAAAGAGACTTCATATAGAGCATACGTACCTCATATGGCAGCATATTTTCTGCAACAGTATCGTTCGGCATCCCATGCAACCGTGCCTCACTGCGAAAGCCAACAAAAAGGAAACTGATGATGAGAGAGAGAGAGAGAGAGAGAGAGAATATTTGCCATGAGACGTTAAGCCATGCACGTTGAAACGAGATAAAATAAAATAATCAAATAAATAAATAAACACACAAAAAAAGGAAGAATAAAGGAAAGTATTAAGGGGAAAAAAGAGGAAGAGGAAGATAAAACAAGAGGAAAAAAAATATATGCCTTTACAAAAAGAAAAAGAAAGCTGCCCTTTTTGTGTCACGTAAAATAATATTTACGCATATATATATATATATATATTTATATATATGTGTGTGTGTGTGTAGTTACGGCCTCACTTTTTACATGCAAAAAAATTTATGCTCACTTTTCCTTTTCTTCATTTGAGAATAAAGTTGAAAGAACCATGTGGTTGCCCATTTACCCTTATGCACCATTTCAAAAAAGAAAGCTTTTGAATCCATTAGCTAAAAGATGCCGAAAAAATCGTTTGTCGCAGATCGATATTCTCGAATTTAAATGTAAATTGGATATATGGAATTTGAATATGACTTGCATGAAAAAAAGTGATGCCTATATGTGTATATATATATATATATATAATTAGTATAGGAGCTTAGTTAACAAATGCCTATACACACAGACGTATACATAATACACGTGTTATCGTTGGCTAGCTTTTGGCCATGATTTTCCCCTAATGGGTCACGTAGGGATTTGGATTCGGGGTTAGTTTTCTAACCGGTAGGACCATATCATATTATAAAACCCGCTGTAAATCAATTAGCCCCACAAAATCCTAACGAAAGCCACTTTTTTATACAAATAAAACACACCGTATCTCATGTATATGCACGCATATATACACGTGTATATAAGCTCGTGCGTTTCATACATATGTAGATGTGTATGCATGTGCATATATCATAGGGGACAAAAATGGGGTTGGTTTCTCTTTTTCTAATTCTCTCCTTTTCCTTTTCCTTTACTCCTTAAGTGGAGAGAGAGAGAGAGAGGATGATGATTAAACTATAACATACAGACAGAACAGAAAACAAAGAACAAATGCATAATCCCATTTCCTAGTTGCATGCAGTTCTCGTTTCTCTTTCTTCCTATGATTCCTTGCATGTATACACACGTACACATATACGTATACGTATATGTTTCTTCGTACGTATGTCTAAAATATTCGAGCTTATCAGTTAGACATGCATGCCATTCCCTTTTAACACAAAAAAGGACATGGATTTTCATATATACACACGTAAGTATCTACGTACGCGTATTTGTAAACGTGAAAAGCTAACCAGCAAAAGAAAATGCATGCGTACGTTCGTGAAAATATGTACAAGTATTGTGCATGTCCATGCAGATAAAAATTATAAACAAACATTAAGCATATATATCTATGTATACTCCCACACACACACACACACACATATATATATAAGAGAAACGTACTAAACATGCACATACGTATTTATGTATATATATATATAGATATATAAATGTCGACCAAGAAAAACGTATATATGAATTACCCGGACGAGTTGCTCCATAGACCGCGATGATCTTTGCCCTTTTCACCGTACGATTTGTCCCGTTGATTTTGCATTTCGTTTCTCTGTTTCGATTTCCGATTCATATCTAACATCCAATCGTCCGAGTTATCCCCGGAAGATCCGTTTTCATAGACATCGGATTGCCCTATAAACAATGATATGTATAAATTAATTAGCAATATTGATAATATTTTTACATAAATCAAGATTTTCCCCGACAATTACGTTAACAGATAATGCAAAAAAAAAAAAAGAACCTGAAGAAGCTGCTGCTTTGTCGGTGGTCTTCACTGTCCGATACATCTGATATATAAAAAAAAAATATAAAATCACACCATAAGAAATAATAATAATAATAATTATTATTATTATTAGAAGACCGTACCATATTCAATTTAAAAAGCTCTGCCAAACCCGTAACTGTTAATTAAATTTGTCTTTACACATACACATATATGATAACAAAGATTTATATATACACACACACACACACACATATATATATGGGAAAAAAGGAAGAAGAGAACAAAGAAAGAAGACCGATGTACTGTTCTGTGGTTTTCACTATGGCTTAGAGCCAAAAGAAAACGAGGTGTATCCCGACACAAAGTGTACAGTACCGAGAAAATTCTGAAAGCATATATACATTGGAAGATAATGGAAAATAACTGTTCGGACACAGAAGCATTAATGACATCATTAATGGGGGTTCCCAGTTTTCATGTCCATGCATGAATTTACGTGTCTGACCATGGTTAGAACCTGACCCGGTAAACGACAACCATGGTTGAGTTAAATCCCAACCCAACTCCTGTGTTCGTGTGAGAGAGAGAAGATCATATCATCATTGAGAAATGATGGTGTTTCTGTACTCCTTCCAGATTTTTTTTCCATATATTTTATTTCCCAAAAAAAAAAGTTCCTCAAAACTATGCATAATAATGGAATAATAATCAGATATTATACTGAACAAAAATCCTCTGATATTATATATATATATATATATGTATATATATTGTCTTGTTCGATCTCCAAACATTATTCATATCCTGTCGAGATGGAATCCAACTTTTGCATATAAAAAACAAGAAAAACGAATATAAAAGAAATTAAAGGAAACAATAATAATAATCAAAACGTTTATTACTTCACTCTTGTTATCTCTACGTGTCTCAGTAATAATAATAATATCGAGTAATTGTATATTTAAAGGACAATAATTAAGTTTATTCTTCCAAGAAAACAATGAAAAGAAAAGGCTGTAAAATCATCCTTGCAGGACCATCAGATCTAGTAGAGAAAAAAAAAAGTGCCAAGGATTTGAGGGAAAATCAACTTTTTTCGAATTTGTACTCTTTCACCTCTATATAGCTCATATATACACAGACACATACATACATACATATAGAATATACGTACACATATATATACACACACAGACACACATTTTGTTCATCTCCTCTCCCGATGTCGTGTTTTTAGCCTTGCATTATTGTTGAATTGATTACGGTGGAAGAGCGAAAAAAGTGGGAGAAAAACAAGATTCTTCGACTCACTCTGACTCGAGTTCAAAAAATCTCTGGACTCATAAGGAAGCCACTGAGTCAAAGCGTGCATTGTTATCCGAGAATATTTTTGTTTAAACGTATAAATAATATGTGCATTACCAACCAGACGAATTTTAATCCATTAGAGATTTGTGCCAATTTCTAGAAGGGTTATAATCAATTAAATAAAATTAAATTACCTGTAAATGGGACTTGACATGAGCCAAGGTGAGATCTTTTACATCCATGAGCTCAAGAACGGATTTGGGCGTTGCTCCTAACGGTCAAACAAAAACGAGAAACAAATCAGATAATCGGAAAAAGTAACGAGGAAAAGGTGGGAGCTTTGATTGATTTTAGAGGGACGTACTTTCATGGCCGCCGAGCAATTCGACGGCGTGGACGAAACGAGCGTGGAGAGTGGTCGTCCACCGCATCCGAGGAGCTCTCATGCTTCTCTTCGCCGGAAATCTTGGCATGAATCTTGATCTGTTGTTATTCATCAAGCCCTGATGATGATGACGATGATGATGATGACGGTTATTAGGGTTATGATTAGGGTCTGTTAAACCGGAGTTAGCAACACTACTTGTACTAATGGTGTTGTTAACCAGAGAAGAAGAAGAGGAAGAAGGAATCAAAGAGGATGGATCGAAAGGGAAACATGGTGGAGGAGGAGGAGGAGGAGGAGGGTTTTGGTAAAGTGGGATTCCTCGTATTGGCCTTAAGAAGCTGAGGTCACGACTAAGAAACCCATGTCGTTGATACTGAAGTTGTTGCTGTTCTTGAAACAGTTGTTGTTGTGCTGTCTGAAATTGCAGGGAGTTGAGGATGTTGGAGCCATTGCAGTTTGGGAGAAAGTGGAAATGAGCCAAGGAGTTTGGTTCCGTCGATGAGACCGAGACGGGGCTCCGAGGGAAAAAGGAGCTGTTATTCGACAAGGAGAGGTCGAAAGAAGTGTCGGCCTTGGAATTGGAAGAGACCAGAGACGATGTTCTTGAATCCAAAGCTCTTCTCCAAAACCCTAAATCAAGATCTTGATCATCAGTTTCTCCTGTCGATCGCCTTTGCCACGTCGACGACGGCTTGCCGTCGGGAGGACTGATCTGTAAGGATAAATCTGGTTGGGCAGGGAACAGCTCCATGGTTATAACCGATCGAAGAAAGCTTTCTTCGGCTTTTTGGTCTTGTTCTTGACCCCCAAAAACAAAAAGGTGAAGAGGGCTCAACCTTTGATTCTTTTGTCTCTCAAATGAAGAACCCTAGTTTTTGTTTTCTTGAATTGGAGATAAGGAGAGGGGAAAAAAAAGGAAGTAGTGTCTTTATGGGTGTGGAGCAAAAGGGTATCGTGCTTCTTTTTGAAGACGAGATTTCGTGGCTTTCTTGAGAATAATGATCGAAATTTTCTTGTTTGAGGTTGAGCAGTTGCAGAGATTTTTGAGATACGGAGAGAGAGAGAGAGAGAGAGAGAGAGAGAGAGAGAGAGAGAGAGAGAGAGAGATGACAAGGTATGTAGTGAATGGTTGTTTCTTTTGTGTGAAGTATATGTGAGAAAGTGACACTTGAGTGACTTAGAGAGAGAGAGAGGGAGAGAGAGAGAGATAGAGAGAGAGAGAGAGAGAGAGGCTTTTGTGGACATGAGGGGGGCTAGAGAAACTAGGTTAAGAAAGAAAGGGGGAAGAAAAGCAAAGGGATAAAGAAATGGAAAGAGAAAAAGAGGCCCATAATAAAAAAAATAAAAAAACGCGTGGTAAAATGGTAAATTAAGCATTTCTTTTTTTCTTTGCAGATGCACCCCCTTTTGTTTTCTTCGGAGCACAAAAGCAATTCCTTTATTTGTGTTTTATACCCCTCTTTTTTTGTTTCTTTTTACATCTTACCCTTTTATTCGATCTCAACCCTTAAACCAATCCATCAAAATCACTTTCATTATTTCATATGCAATTGGAGGACAAATATCAAGACCATATATATATATATAATCATATCATATTTGTTGCTGTATTATAGCTTATTTCGACTTTATATAGTTATCTTTGTGATAAAATATATAAAATAAGAAAATTTAAAGGTGAAAACTTTGGCATTTTTTTTATCTTTAACAAGCCACACGCTCTTGCTTTTAACTGAAACCCAAGGTTGATTTCTCCTTTTTACAACCCCTAAATTCATTCCAAAAAGATGCACAATTTTGTTTTTAAATAGAAAATAAAAAAAGAAGAACAACAACAAAGAAAAAGATAAAAAGAGAAGTAGAGGGGAAAAAAGAAAAAAAAAAAAGACAAAGTTTGCCTCTTTTAGCTTATTTATATATAATCACATGATTACTCACTTTTCTATCCTCCCTAGGTTTTTTTTCTTTTCCTTTGTAAATAATTCCTTAATGATGAAAACGGTTTATATATATATATATATATATATATATATATATATATATATTACACTCCACGTATTAATTAGAGAATCATGCATATGCTATTTTTTTTTTTAAATATTACATTTTCTCTTCGTAGTTTGTTTATACTTTAATTTTGTTCATTAATATATTATAAGGTAATGTCTTTTTTTTTGCAGATAATTTATTATCACTATTGTTGTCCTTTTTTTATAATAGGAAGGTTTTTTTTTAGCCTTTAACCAAATACATATTCGTTATGATTAATATATATTCTGCCAAATGATATTTAATCTATTTTGAAAGAATTACTATAATAAAATTTTGAAGAATCTAAACAAATATTTTAGTACACTATTAAATAATTGTTTAGTGTTCATATGATTGTAAGATATAAAAATGATTTTGTGAGGTTGACGAATTGGTGAAAATAAAAGGAAAATAATGAAAAGGAACAAATATCTATACGAAAAGACCTATTACAATTTACATTCCTCATGCGAGGGTAAATGGGTAATTACTAAAAAATATTTACATAACTCTCAAGACAAAAGCCCAAACCCATTAGCCATTAGGTCACGCAGGTTGTTTTTTTTTTCTTTCACCGAGTGTGTTTTTTTCCCCACTATTTTATAATGTTTTTTTGTTAAAAGACTATTTTATAATGTTATGCTAAATAAAATTTAGATAAGAAACTCATTTTTATTCTTAATTCTTATGGGACTACGACAAAAGTGATTTACTTATGAGTTGTGGCACATATTTATTATTTAGAAAATTTAAAACATTATAATTCATAAACCAAATGAACTGAATTATTTTGGATTATAAATTATTCCATATATTCTCCAAAAACTTTGTATCACAACCAAACAATTTAATTTATAATAGAAACCCGAAATATCCATTACAAAAGAAAAAATAATTATAAATGAGAGTATATATTCTCATGAGACTTTGAGGGGAATTTTTTTGTGTGTATATATACATAGTTTATATATATATATATATATATAGTTAAGGGTGGTCATTTCGCTTATTAACCGAATAACCGAACCGAACGGAACCAAATCGAATAAGACATAACCGTATCCGAACCGAACCCGACATCAAAACCAAACGGTTATGATTTTCTTAAACCCGAAAAACCGAAACCGAACCGAACCGAATAAAAAATAACCGAAAAAACCGATAGAATAACCGACAATTTCTTTGGAAAATTGAACTTTTTACCAAAACCGAACCGAACCGAACCGAACCGAACCGGAATTTATATAAAAACCGAATGGTTATAGTTTTTCTATAACCGAAATAACCGAACCCGAATTGGCCACCCCTGTGTACAGTTATTTGTTTAGGAAAAAAATGACATTTGCGTAAGAAATTATTCTTCATTCCTTGTATTGTACAACCACTTTTAGAACAAACAAACTTATTATAGGTGTTGAAAACACGCATTTGATTGTTAAAATTTTATGGAAAAAAGGTTTAGACACAATAACTAGTAATGCACTAAATATTTGAAGAATATATATATATATATATATATATATATATATATATATATATATATATATATATATATATCATAACTTGTCTCTGTGTTTTTCCTCAAAATCCAATGCTCCAATTAGATTTCATGTTTGGATTCATTACAAGAAAATATTCAATCTTTTTTTTTGTTAACCTTTGGAAACCTACCCTCGATCCTTCGGGTCGGATCCCGCAACGCCTCACAACCCCAAGAACCGGACAAATGACACGTTATCACAGACAGATTCAATCTTTCTTACTTTGGATGGATTTCATGTTTGGTTTGGTTTTAAGTTTCGGAAACGACGACATCCTTGAATTAGTGAAATTGCAATAAATATATATATATATATATATATATGAACGCTTATGGTTTTCAATCGATACATATTAACTAAATTTTTTGTTCTTTACCAAAGAAAAACTAAAATTTTTGTTTGTTTTAAAAAATCTCGCTGAATCACTATAATCTGATAGGTACTAGCTATATATATAAAAGATATTTTGTTATTAAAAGTAAATATCAAATTACACAAGTCATCTCAACGTTAAATATAAAATGTCGTATTCTGACAACATTTAATGTCACAAACCCCCAACTTATAAAATTATGAGCATTAATTGTTTCAGCAACCATTACGGGGCATCAATGAATATACAATATATACCCAATTTTTTTAAAAAAGTTTTCAGTATGAAAAAAAAAACTTAAATTAAAGATGAAATATAATCCGCGATGCATGGGATGGTCAATGAAAACAATTCCACGGCAAATAGAACTACGGTCTAACAATAACACACATATTTCGAGAAATATATATATATATATATATATATATATATAATGTATATAAAATTGTTATATATGAAAGTTGGGAAACAATGCGAGATGTATGCATGTAGCGTTAGAACTTAGAAGCATCCATTTCTTGTCGGTAACCACTAATAAATTAATTATAATTAATCCATGGGTTTGCCTGCGTATTACGAGATGGACCAAACAAGAGAATCTCGCATTAATGCGGTAAGTATTATTTATAAATTTAATCATATATATATATATATTCTAATACCAATGCCAAGATCAAATCTTTAAAATGATTTTATATAACATTCGATGCGGGATTTGAATTTCGCACACGACCAACCATATATATAATAATATTCATGTTGTCGATTATTTAATAACAAAGTAAATTCTGCATTGGAAAAAACCCCTAGGTGAGTTGGCAAGGAGCATGGTCCACATAACGAGAGGTTGGAGGTTCGACTCATTGTCCGTTCACCTATCGCCTGTCAGCTACGGTTGATTTACCTCTCATGCGTATGTTGCAGGCTCGTGCGTGTGGACTTGGGTTTACTCGGTCAGCGCGTCCGAAGGGTAGCAGCCGGGGTTCCCAATGTATAAAAAAAAAGAAGTAAATTCTGCATTTTTTTTTAAATTTTTATGGTGTAATACAAGAAAAATATAACAAACGCGATCGAATCTCATTCAAAATTTAATATATGCAGGCTATAGGAATAATATTCTATACAGGCTATGTACTATATATCTATGTCTTAATTGTGTAAATATATGTGCAAATAATTTAAATAAATAAATAAATAAATAAAAATGGTAGTTAGGTGGTGTCATATTCAGAGATTTCATTCTGTGTGTGTGATCATACCGCACAAAGACATTCTAATAATGTTCTTTGAATTTCATCTTTTATGGTACATTCAAAAAGATTTTGTTCCCATTGATATGGTGACTTTTTCTCAGGTGGAATATATATTTTTTATGGTTTACTTTACTTTACTTTAATTAATTAATTAGAATTTATTTTCTTTAAAAACTAATTTTTCACCGGGGAAATTCGTCCACATCATAATACATAAACCAACCCTTTTTTTTTCAAATATAAACACTGTTTAGTAATTTAACTTTTATTTCACATCAAATCTTTTTCCCAAAATAATTGAGAAAATCTAATTATATTGACAAAAAGGTTTATGGCATCGCTATCGCATTTTCTTCCTCAATTATTCGTATTCCACACAACTTTGACATCTCAATAATCATTTTTAAACGCACAATTTTGGCATTTACGTACATCGTTCCATTATTTTTGGGTTTTTAAAAATTATATTAATTCAATTTTATCTTTTTTTCGGATTTTTATTGTGTTCAAATTGGACTATAATTCGATTTCGTTCTGAAAATATCATTATAAAATTATTTTTTATCCTATTTTTAGTTATTTGTATATCTATTGCAATTAAATGATTTAGATTTACATAATTTTAGTTAACAATATATTTAGTTTAATTTAAAATTAGATTAAACTACATTAGTGGAGGATTGCATTGATTCTTCCAAACATTAATGACTTTAGTGGCCCGAAAGGGGAAATAAACAAAACAGGTCCATTGTGGGATTCTCTTTGGGTTGAAAAATCAATGAGATTGGACGTATAAACAACAAAATACGTCATACATACATACATACATACATACATACATACATACATACATACATACATACATACATACATACATACATACATACATACATACATACATACATACATACATACATACATACATACATACATACATACATACATACATACATACATACATACATACATACATACATACATACATACATACATACATACATACATACATACATACATAATCACTTTTAGTAACGTTTTGGAATATCATAGACGGACTAAATATAATCCCAAACAATTCCATACGGATAGATGTGGATAATGATTTTCTCGTCCGATATCTGAATTTTCGAATCTGAAATTCGAGTTTTTATAATCATGGAATTCGAATTCATATCCTCGAACAATTTATATAATTTTTTTATTAATCACGTGTTCTAAACGACATTCAACTATTAACCATTACTTTTAAATCTTGCATATTTAGACTAATATCTCATTTCATATCTGGATCAATATACGAAACGATAAAAGACCGAACTCCATTAGTTGGACAAGATTCGAACTTCTGACTTTTTATCAAAAGAAGAAGATGTTGAACCATCTACACACACCAATCTTTGAATTTCTTTATATTATTTCAAATATCCGAAAACTCTATGACCATATATATATATATATATATATATATATATATTCGTATTCAAGAATATATATATATGTGTTTTTTGAGAAGAATTAAATCAAAATGAGCTAAATGAAAGTGGAGGGGGGAAAAGACTGATTGAACAAAATGAGTCGGAGACTCATAAGGTATAGGATATATATATATATATTTCATACAAAATATTTTGGCAGATCAAAGCTTTTAAAACGATAACACACGTCTAATTTATTCTTTTTTGCTTTTTTTTTTAACTTATATTTTTCTACCATATATGTATGGTGAAACATTGATAAGATATATACAACTATTGTATGCACTATATCGACGTATGTATTACGTACATCCCACAGACATACATACATATATATATATATATATATGAACTTCCTAACGATTTAAATTTTTTGTTCTACCAAAGAAAATGTAAGAAAAAACACAATAATTTATTTGTTGTTAATTACGAAAATCTTCTCATGATTTACAATAAGGCCCATCAGATAATTGGGCCTAACATGTGCTTCTCAATAAGCCCAATTTAAAATCCTGAATTCAAGCCTCAAGTTAAATTTTTTTTTTCCATAGCTTTATTTATTTTATTTTTTTTTTGAGGTCAGAGAAAGCAGAAACTGTTCTTGGAAGCTTGAACTCGGGCGATTGGCAATGGCTCTTCTCTTCTCCATCTCCTGTCCTTCCCCCTTCCTCGATCCCTCCATAAACCCTAACAAGCCCTTATACTCTTCTCTTTCTGTAAAACCTAATTCTCTCGGTTTCTCTCTTGTTCGCCATCAGAAGCCTGTTCGATTTTCTCGAGTTCGATCTTCCGAATCCGATTCCGAGCCAGAAAACGCATACGTGATTACGGACGAATGGGGCGAGAGGTCCGATCCCGAAACCGAATCTGATGCCGAGCCCGACGCGGGAAATATTCCTGAGTTTACGGACGAGTGGGGTGAGAGATCCGAACCCGACCCGGATGAGCCAGCGACCAGTTTAGCAGACTCGGATCCTCCGAGGTACGAGGACGAGTGGGAGGAAGAACGAGGTGGAGACGGCGAAGTGGGCAACGGGAACGGAAGCGCAGTGTACGATCGGGCTTGGGAGCTGAAGAGGATCCTGGCGGACACGGTGTACGGAACTGAATTAGGGTTCCGGGCCGAGTCGGAGGTTCGTGGGGAGGTGTTGGAGCTTCTGAATCAGTTGGAGGCTCTGAATCCGACGCCTACTCCGGTTGAGGCTTCGGATCTTCTCGACGGCAACTGGGTTTTGCTGTGAGTTTGCTTCTTCCTCCTCTCTGCCTTTCCATTTCACCCCCTTCTCCATACCTTATTCAGATCATTTGCTGTTCAGCGAACTTCCAAAAGAGTTTCTTATCAGTGTTACAGAGATGAAGTTTGAGTTTCCTATTCATCCATCGATAACGTTTCGATTTTGGCTGGTAATGTCTGCAGTGAGGATTTTGGTTGAACATGAGTTAGAGTTCGTTTTCATAGTTCTTCCATATACTGCTTTGCTTTGCATAGATTCAATGTACATTCTTATTGGAATGAAGCAGTGAATGGTTTCCATCCCCCCTGATTGCTGTTGGATCTTGGTAAAGCTATCTCTCGTTTTTGTTTGATTAGTGACGCTCATGGCTTATCTTTTCGCTTCTCGGGTTTGGTCAGATACACCGCATTTTCCGAGTTGTTGCCTCTTCTGGCTGCGGGGTCGACACCTTTCTTGAAAGTTAAAAGGATAACTCAGTCTATTGACACGAAGAACCTCTCCGTGGAAAACTCAATTACACTCTCCGGTCCCTTAGCAGACTTCTCGTTCAGCGCTTCTGCTACATTTGAAGTTCGAAGCCCTTCGAGAATTCAGGTCGAACCGAAAATACCCTTTTCCCGAGTTATTGCCTCTTCTGCTTTCTGCAATTCTTCCTTTGATGGGTATCTTTAAAGCATGAATCCTTTGCACTTGGGACGCTGTTCCTTTCATTCAAGTGATGAAAAATTTACAGACAAGAGCAAGTCATTGTAGAAGGAGAATAGAAGTCCGGCTGGCTTAGACCATAAAGAGCTGTCTCATTTGTAGAATCTGTGATGGGTATATCTAAAGCATGAATCTTTGTTTTACTGTTTATGAACTCTTCAGGTTTCATTCAAAGAAGGTACACTTCGACCTCCGGAGATAAAATCAAGCCTCGATCTCCCCGAGAATGTGGAATTGTTCGGGCAGCAGGTCAACTTATCATTACTGAAGCAATCTCTGAACCCTTTACAAGAAATAGCAGCGAACATTTCACGGGCAATATCCGGTCAGCAGCCTCTCAGTCTTCCGTTTCCAGGAAACCGGGGCAGCTCCTGGCTTCTGATCACTTACCTCGACAAAGATCTCAGGATTTCTAGAGGGGACGGTGGCATTTTCGTGCTTGCGAGAGAAGGAAGCTCTCTGCTCGAACTCTGAGGAGTTATATTATATATACAGGTTGTCCTTTTAATGCATAGATGAGTGTAAAGAAGACAGGGTATGGATGAGAGCAGAAAACTTGGAATGCTTCCATTGACAGTAACAGGACATCTATCTTCGATTTACATAGGATTTGTCCAAAATGTTGGTCTGATCCTTACTTGATTGTCCAAAACTATCTTTGATTTCCATTACAGGGTCTCAAAAGAACAAGCCAAGCATAGACCAGAAGAACAGTTTGGACAACTACTCGCTATTGTCGCTAGAACTGGAAGTGGCAAAAAGCATCAGAACAGTTCAAATAAGAAAAAGGTTGGAACTTTAGTGATTCTGAAGCTTCATTTCTGAATCATCCACTGCAGAATGTCCTTGCGGATGACGAAACTGCCAAACCCGCTTCTAGTATAGCCCGGTTTAATCGGATTATTACCTGGACTGATGCTGTAATGCTTGTACCGAATCATAGTTCCGGTGGGTCTTGGTGGCCGGATCATCATGGGGATGGTAGGGAATGATTTCGGCCAAAGATTCCTCGATGACATGAACATATGCCGAGCTGATTCACGGTTCTGCGGAGATTTGAGATGGAACAATTCTGATAGTTTCTTTGCCTTGTTCATGTTCGAGTTGGCATGGCGTGGTAGTTTTTCTGGTGGAGAGTGAATCTCAGCCTCTGGCTTCATCCGGTCAAGCCACCGGAAAATCCAGTTACCCATGTTCCGACCAACTTTTATGTCTCTGCGCTGGATGTTCTTGTGGACTTTGAGCGCCACATCGAAGACTTGTCGAGTTCTCCTGCCCAGACCCAAGAACAGAGAGAGAGAGAGAGAGAATCAATCAAACATCAAGAATCAACATTTTCATCCGCAGCAGGATTCCGATCCCAATTCGCCTGACCTCAAACAAGCTTCTTACCGCCAAATCACACAACCAAAACCGACAATCCCAACAAAGGACGACGGATTTTCTCCCAGAAACAAGACAATTCGAAACGAAATCGGCAGAAACAAAAAAACCTCACCGGTGCAGAAACTGTCGGATCCGAGGATGCTTGGATCCGACGATCCGACGTTGGATCTTCAACGCGAGCCTGTGAGTCCGCTTCAGTCCCAGGAAGTACGCTGTTCCCAACGTTAACTCCCACAACACCATTTTCTTCTGGAGCCTTCCTCTTCGTTCTTCGAAAACTACCAATTTCGAATATGATCCCAATCTATTCTCTTTTCCCTCCTTCAGATCTGCCAGAAATGTCGATCCCACTCTCGTCGCTGTTTGCCGCTCTGTTTTATACGGGCCGGTTTATCGGCGAAGCAATCCCGACCGTTGATCTTGCTTGATGCTCAAGACATTGTAGTAGCATGGGCCCTACGTGGGCCCATTTAGAGCCCAAATGGAGTTTATATGGGCCTTCTACTTTTTGATGGGCTGGATTTTAATTTTTGTATTGGGTAAAATCGTGGATTATTATTCCGTTTGGGCTCGACAAAATCTCAATTGGATGGGTTATGGTTGAGTAATTTACTCATTAATGATTATTTGATATATAATAAAATTTATAAATTTAGTCTTAATAACCATTTTTACATAAGCGTATTATATTTTGTCATCATTTACGTGTCATTAATTATTATATTTCTCACTCTAACCAATATTTATTTATTCGGTACAGTCATGAGATTCACAACCCTCTCTCTCTAGTTAGCACTCTCTCTCCCTCTCTCTCTGTCGGCGATGCAGAGGCTATCGCTAGACTCATCGGCTTCGAAGCTCCATGGCTATGGAGGACGAAAGGATGAAGTCTATAATGTCGATGACTTGAAGCGTAAGGAATCGTCTCCGTCTCCTTCTTCTTCGTCGTCCTCTGCCGGTTACGACGACCACGAGTTCAAGGACTCGAGGCCGCGGCGGTTATCGCTGCAGTCGTCGCTCTCGGCGTCGCACCACAAGCAGGAGAAGCTCGTCCACTTCATTCCCGTGCTCACTCTGATATGTTTCATCATTCTCTACCTCACTTCTCATACTCCATCACAATCAGGTTCGTACTCTGTTCTAAATCCGATAATTCGTTAACTTGGATCGTCTTCTGTTTTCTGCTTTTGATCGGTTATCGTTTTCTGATTTTCTCAGATTTGGCTCACTTTAACGGATTCAAGCCGCATTTAGGTACAATGCAGCTTCGTTTCAAGCTCTCTTACTTTATTCATCGATTTCATTTTTTAGCGATCTAATTCATGGATTCATTTTCCAGATTATCCATTTACTGTTTCCGATTTCGATTTTAATTTACGCATATTTATGCGTATTCAAATATTGGCGAACTCGGGTTTAGCGCATGGATTTGAATTTCGTTTTCGCGTAAGCTACTCCTTGGTGTCGGTCAATTGATTCTTCTTCACCATTTGTGAATCTACTAGAATCCGGCGAAAGCAGCGACATATCGGGATTCGTCAGGGCCGATGCTCTGTCCATCCGCAGTAGCATAAGGAACCTGCAAGAGACGGAAAAATATCCATCGAACTCACTCCCGGCGCGTCACCGTACCTCCCATCGGAAAACCGCTGACTTCTAGGTCTCTCTCTCACTCTTCGCACGTGTATATTCTCAACATGCATATCGATCTGTTTGTTTCCTCTGCAAATATCATTTTGTTTTAACTAACCAAATAAAAAAACAAAAAAATGGAGGAAAAAAATACATAACGGACTCTGATCTTACCGGTAAATCCGCCGGCGAGAGTGCGACAGCCCCAATTCGGTAACGTGAACCGGTCAGGTAGGCGTAGGATAGTGAAGAGAGCAGTGCAGTCTGTTAGAGTGCGCCTCTCTGTTGCGTGGATGCGATCCAGCTGGAATTTTGGACCGTTACTCCAGCTGGAAAAAAAAAACCGTTAGTTCCCCAATGGGAGCTTCACATACAATTGCATTTCATTTATATTTTATTAAATACCTATGACTAAGCTAAAACAATAACCCCTGAATTTTTAATTTTCAATTTCATTTATGTTTATTTTCTTTTGTCTTGAAATAATCGCCATCCCTTCTTTTCACCATATTCACTCCATTTGAAACCTGTTAATTTTCTCACATCGAACTATACAATATACGAACCGACATAATGTGTCGCTTTGCTCTGTATAGATGGAAGATTCTATGTAAATTAGACAACAAGCCACGCTGATGGTGATAGGTTTCGGGAACGTGTCAACGCTACTACAATACGCATATATATATATATATATGTGTATGTGTGTGTGTACTATATGTAGTGAGAAGATAGATGATGCCATGTGCTCTCGTAATTACGTCTGTCCACTTTAGTAGCCCCATCCCCACTTCCATCCATCAAGTAATCGCCATCCCTTCTTTAGGCTTACATGGCATATCCTCTTTGGTTATGTTTCATGATCCTCCTTTAGCTCTTTCTTCTTAAGATGCCTCTCTTTCTCACTCCAAACATATATCTCTCTCTCTGTACATTTTTTTTGGTAGTTGGGGTGTTATTAGAAACAATTCATGTTATTAGAATATACTTAGAATATACATTCTTTTCTTTAATTTTAATTTTAAATTTGAATTCAGAACAGAACAAACTTTCTTTAATTTGAAATTCGAATTCATAACAGGATAAACATTTCGAGTTTCTTTCTATGAGTTAAAATCTTCAAATTGAAATTTATATATATATATATATATATAAAGCTTTTGGTCGTGGGCCAAAGTGAACCATAGTGCTCTTCGGATTCGTTTTTTCTCTTCTTATCCATGGAACCCTTTTTAAAAAAAAGATTTGTAAACCCATAATTCGACACCTATACTTATCCGGAAAACGAAATCACTTACAATTACATAAAACAAATTGTTTTTCAATAAGGTTGATGTCAAAGCACAGTTAAACAAAAAAAAAATGGTTGATGTTTATTAGTAATAATCGGTGCCAGCTTCTTTATATCGGTGGCGTGTTCTCTCTGTTCACGGGGCGAGATCTTGGGACCTGGGCCGTCACGGGCCGAAGGAGATGAATGAGGCTTGCTCGTGGAAAAAAAAAAGAAAAACCTCTGGGTATTGTTAGATTCAGTTGATTACATTTATGTATAAAAATGTTTGCAAACTAAAAGTATATTTGTTTTTTTTTATTCACTTTTACAACACTTTGTGGTGGGTATAAATATATTACCCATTAATCTTAGCTTATCAAATATAGAACACATTTTATTTAAACAGCCGATTTTATTTTATTTTTAAGTTCTTCAATCCGACAACAATTCAATTACGAGGTAGTAAAAAAAATTGGGATAGAAACCATCCACGACAAAAAAAAAAAAAAAAAGAGAAAGGGAAACTATATAAAATGACGTAGGAAGGATGAGTGAGGAATTGAAATAGTATATATATTAATCACATGATTAGAATTGAAATATAGTATTGTAATCATCATTGAAGGATCTTTTAATTGGAAATAAAGTCAGCGTAATAATGTAGGGAGAATTTTTGTAACCGAAGGTTGGTGTTGGCAAACAAAACGTAAAAATGGTGAAATTATTTATGCAACAATAGAAAAGTTGACTATACTATAGTAATGACGGACGAAAATTCAGGAGAGCTTTAAAAAAACCCTTCAATGAAACTCAGTAATAATAGCCTCCCGTAATGAATCGAATTTTTTTTTTTATAATAATGATTTGAATTATTACATTCTTCCTGTGATTTTTTTGGGTTCAAAATTTTAGAAATTACCCACATTTTCATTCAACATTTAACCCCATACCAATAGTTGAAATTTGAATAATAATAACAATAACAATTTTAATTACATGAAATGTCCAAATATCTGTACAAATCTTTTGTTACGGTTTTGTTCTTTTTACATGTATATTCTTTCTGTCTAAAGCGATTCTTTTGTTGCGGATTTGTTTTTTTTTTTTTATAGGTATACGATTATTATTTGTCTTATAAGAAGTTGGAATCATTCAACAAATCACGAAACATATAATGAACCGAAAACCAGATTAAAAAAATTACATAAACCCATACATAGAATTCAAGAGTCAATGATCAGATGATCATTTGCTCTATGGATAGAGTTGATGATGATGATGATCATCATCATCATCATCATGACATGATCATTGCATATCTAAAACGAAGGGAAGTAGATGTTGCTGCTACTTTGACATGAGCCAGACAGCATCTCTATCAGATCCATCTCTCTCCTCTCACTCGTAGAGTTTTCTTGAGGCGCAAGAAACTTGTTGTAGCCAAAATCCTCGTTGGATGTGGACGATGACGAAGAACAGGAACCAGACGAGAACAACATTGTCCCGTTCAGTAGATTTGATAAGTAGAGATCAGAAGGGAGGTGGGTATTTGTCGGAGTGACCATCCCATGATGACTCGCCTGAGTTGCGAGCGAGTTAGGGTTAGGGTTCCTAGTCACAACCCCAGAAGAAGAAGAAGACAGATCCATCTCGACAGGCTCTTGATAATCTGTGAAACCGATATTCTCCAGAGAAATGGGTTGGTTGGCGAAGAAATTCTGAAGGAGAATGAGCTCTTCGTCGAAGGAATCGCTCACGAGCGATGAGGCAGATTCTCCGTCCGAGAAAATCTGGCATTTCCCCATTGACGACGGATTACTACAAGAATCAACGACGATGTTCTTGTTCTTGTTCTTGTCGTGGTTACTGTTATTGATGCTCTTGATGTAATCTTGAAGAACGCAAGGCCTTTTGGCGGTCGGCGACAGATCGCTGCTGTTGCTATTGTTGCGTTTGTGTTTGCGTTTTGAGTTTTGGCGTCGCTTGGTCGCGTTCCAGTGGTTCTTGATGGAGTTTTCCGTACGGCCTGGTATCAGCTTTGCGATTTCCGCCCACTTGTTTCCAATTCTTGAGTGAGCTTCCACTAGGATCTTCTCTTCTTCTTCCTCCCACCCATCTTTCTGCAAATAACACGATAGATAATGTGTGTATATATATATATATATATATGTATATGTATGTATGTATGTATGTATATAGTGTGTATGTATCTGTGTATGGAAATGATACCTTGATATCAGGACGCAAGTGATTATGCCATCTTTCACGACATTGTTTCCCGGCTCTTCCCTCGAGGTTCTCCGCCACTATCGCCCATTTCCTCTCTCCAAGTTGCTTCACCAACTTTATCAACTTCCTATACACACACACACACACACACACACACACACATATACATATATACACATACACGTGTTAATGTATAACATAACATATGCGTGTTCTTAGAAGATTATTGTGTGTGTATATATATATATATGTGTGTGTGTCTGTGTGTATGCGCATGTACTTGTTCTTGAGAAATTGATCTTGTTAAACGATTAAACAATTTATTTGAAAAGTTATCTACATATATATATACTCACATATACACAGGTTTCACCAACTTTATCAACTTCCCACACACACATATACACACACACACACAGGCTAATGTATAACAACAGAAATCTGTGTGTTCTTACAATATTAGTATATGTGCATGTACTCTTGAGAGATTGATCTTGTTAAACAATTAGGGTTTACTTGAAAATTATCTACAAATACACACATACACAGGTCTCACAAGATTTATCAACTTCCTACACACACACACACACACATATATATATATATATACACACACATATACAATTACAAAGGTTAATGTATAACAACATAAATGTGGGTTTTTTTACAAGATTAGTATATGTGCATATATGTGTTCTTGGGAGATTGATCTTGATAAACAATTAGGGTTTGCTTGAAAAAAATAATATCTACACACACACACACACACACACACATATATATATATATACGTATATACCTGTCTTCTTCAGCGGTCCATTGTCCTCTGATAAGATTCTTGCAAGCCTTTTTCTTGGTTCCCTTGAAAGTACCACCCTTCGCGGTTTTTGCCGCAGTCACTTCACTTCTGCCTCCGCCATTGATGGGCGCTGCGTGGTTTTTCTTCGTCATCTCCTCCTCCTTCGGACCAAACATCATCAAGTTCTCCTTGTTGTCTGTCATCGCCTTCATGATCTGTCCTTGACGATCTGTGGGATGTCGCTGTTTCTTGGAACGCAGGAAATCGTTCTTTTGACCGTACAAGAACCTCTCCACGGCCGTCAATGGAGGCGGAGCTCCGTACACGACGGTCTTCTCCTGTGTTTTTGGACCTTCCATGGAGAAAACAGATGTGTATATGGAGAGAGAGCCCAGAAGAGAGAAAGTTAAGCTGATAAATATTATAACGAATACGAGAATTTAATTAGTTGCTAAATAAATTCACACTAATTAGTCATTAATTAAATACCATAATGACGATAATTTTTCTTTTTAAATTCCTTACACGAAGCTCTTTTTTGTATTTTTTTTTGTTTCTCCATGCAGAAACAAATTTGCAAATGGATGGCAAACAAATAAAGTTAAGCTGATAAGTCTAAAGAATACGAAAATATAATATTTGACTTGCTAATTAAATTCGCACTAATTAGCCATTAAATAAATTCAATAATGACGATAATTTTTCTTTTAACACAACTCTTCTAATTATCCTAAATAAAAAAACACTATTTTCGTAGATCCCATAAAACAAAACAAAATTTAAACATAATATATATATATATATATATATATGTATGTATATAACAAAAAATTGACCTTATACCCAAAAAAATCTAAAGAGTTTGATTAGTTGCCGAAGAAATGCATACTAATTAATTGTTAAATCTTATAATTTTAAGAACTTTCTACATTTTTAATCTTCATATTTCCCCTTAAAATTTTCATATTTGAATTTTCTATGTTTTGAAATCTCTTTTAATGTGAGTAAAGAAAATTTAATGTACGATTCGTTTCTTGTTTCTTTCTTACTATGGAGTAATATCGTTTGATTTTCAAGTCGCATGTAATTAGTAAACATACTTAACCAACTCCAATTGTTATCATATATACAATTATATATATTTTTCAAACCAATAACAAATCAATTTCGAATTGAACCGTTATAATAACCGGTTATCAAATATCTTAGTGACCATTTTTTTTTTCGAAATCTACTTTTCAAGGGGAATATGTAGTGGAAATTATGGTTAGACAAATCGGTTCGGTTTTTAAGAAGTAAACCAAATCAAATACGGTTATATATTTCGGTTCGATTTGATTATTCCTATAATATCGACACGGTATGAAAATGGTAAAATAGTATATTTATGTTTTCATGTTGTGGATAAAACATTATAATCATGTTACTTTCATTAGTAGAATTATTTTTTCCTAAAATGTTTATATCAGAAAAAGAAGGCAATTAAAAAAACTTTAGATTATGTACCCAAATTGTATGCGCTGATATGATATTTCAAGAATAAGAATATTCATTAACAGGAAATAAAATATCAGATTAGGGTTAATAATTTTTTTTCCAATCCCGTCTAAATGTTTGTAGTATTAGGGATAAATATTTTGGATAGAATAATCAAAATCGAATCGAATAATATCAAAATATGTCCGACGATATTAAAAATCGGTTGGTTGTAATTTTTTAAAACTTATTAAGAAAAACCAAATTTAATATAAAAAATAAGTGAAAACAACTTTTTAAAATAAAATTTTTTACAATAAAAACCGAACCGAAACTCTAAAAAACCGAATGAATATATCTAATTAAAGATAAATCCGATATAGTTATAAAAAATATACAGATAAAACTATTTTTAAAAATAAAATAAATTCAGGATGCATTATAATAAACTTATTTAAACAAAATTCTCATACATCAATTGGCCTTGTGAGATTATATCATTTTTTATCATGTGACAAATATCCTCTCTATTCATGTCCCATACGGACCGCACTTGCATTCGCCATCGACGCAGCCCAACACACGCATCTTCTGCTCTATGCAAAAAGCCAAACAATCGAAACGGTTCTTGCAGTTATGGATCCACTCCGTTCTCTTGTCCGTTGCCTCTTCACAACTCCCTGTTTCCCCCTTTGATCCACACCCCATTGCTTCCACTTCTCTACCATTGCACAACATATCTGCATATACACACACATATATATGTACACACACATAAATATCTTCGTATTTTGGTCCGACCTACTTTGTTTTGGATAATCGAGTATTTTGGATTGAAGCTCAGACTAATCACGGGATCGAAAGCAAACCATGTGTTTTGGATTATACGTTTTCCTATCCAACTTGAGGCTCGAACTCGGGGCAGGACAGACGCTTTGCGTCCCCATTTCACCGGTTGAGCTACCCAAATTGTGTTTTGGTCCGACTCATTTATAATACATACTCTCTAATAAAAAAACGTCAAGATTTGCGGAATAAAACATTTTCTATATTATTCATTCAACCAAATAATATATTATTCATCAACCAAATATTGTATATATATATATAATAAATGGAAAACTATATACTAATCCTATTAAAACACAAACACTAATTTTATTATGAATATAATTCCCGCATTCACTTATATTGTACATGCGTGTATATATATACACACACAATGAATTTCGATTAAAATAGCTATAAACTATGTTTCCAACAGTTAAACAGCGGCTAATTGCAACAAAGTTCTGCCCGAAATTTATATAAATGATAGGGTAATTAAAATGCTAGGGAACACATATTAACATCTTGTAATTTCTTACTAGGAAATCATCTTATGGAACCGAAAACTCTCGTAATTGATCTAGAGACATAAAACAAGGTGATCGTATAATGTCGAATTTCAATATTTATAAATATTTGAAGGTATTAAGACAGATATAAACGAAAATATTAATACCGACATGAAGACAGGAGAAAGAGGAGAGCCACGAGAGCTGTCTTCGTAAACATCGCCATGCTTATTTCGCTAGTTGTTTCGCAACGGGCAAGTGATATATATATATATATATATATATATATATATATATATGTGTGTGTATATACATATATATGTATGTAATAATATAATAGTAATCCAAGATAGGATATATCATATATTTCGATATATTTCATGATTCAGATGAATTGGGCTCAATTACAGCAAACCCTTATCTGTTTTCCATTTGGGTCCGTCTACTTGTCATTTGAGATAATCTATATCCATTTCAAAAATAATTATCATGTTATATATAAATGGAAACCAAGAGATGAGATTTCTATTAATGTGTAGAAAAAAAGCCAATTTAGAAACAAAAAATGGAATTTGTATTTGATTTTCCTATTCCAAATAATAGAATATTCGTGGAATGGAATTTATTTCCATATTTGATTTTCCTTATAAAAACTCATTTTTCTTTATTCGGTAATATATCGGAAAATATACTATGAAAAATGAAAAATAGAGTTGGATTAATTATAATTATCATTATATATATATATTAATTTCCAAAATAATTATCATTTTATATGCATGAAACTAAGAATTAGATTTATATTCTGTGCGTTATTTCCTATTCCAAATATCAGAATTTCATGGATCGACTTACCCTCGTTTCAATAAAAATGTGTGACAAAGTTTGTAAATTAATATTCTGAAAATATTAACATGAAAGCCACGTCAGCAGTTCGGGGTCTTACTGCCTCAATGCCGCACGTGTCATGATGACGTGGATAAACTTAAAAACCAGACATTAATTTGTTTTTTTTTTCCCGGAAAAAAGTAAAAATCAGTTCTTTTCCCCCCTGCGTTGTCGCTCTCTCTTCCGA